TTTTAATTTTGAAAATTATATTTATTTAATGATTAAATGTATAAAAATTGCAATCAAAATTATGTATATAATTTAATATTTATATGTTAAAATCTAACTAAAAATAACGTATACAATATACTGAGTAAATATAAAAAATCCAACCAAAAATAACATATACAATATACTGATTAGACGTAAAAAATCCAACCAAAAATAATGTATACAATATATTGATTAAACTTAAAAAATCTAACTAAAATAACATAATATACTGATTAAATGTAAAAAATATATGCAAAATTACGTATACAATATACTGATTAAACATAAATTTCGTATTTTTTTACATATGGAAAAAATTGATTTTCAGTATTTAATATACAGAATTACTTATCAAAAATAACATATACAATATACTGATTAGACATGTAAAATCTATGTAAAATTACGTATATAATATACTGATTAGATGTATATATTTCATATTTTTCTGCATACGGAAAAAGTTAATTTTTAGTATCTAGTATAAATATTTACGAATTTATTATATTATTTTTCTATGTTTATTATACATTTTTTAAACATATTATTTTTGTATACTTTCCTTATACAGATTATTTATAGGGAAAATGGAAGAAAATTAATATGACCAGTTGAAAGAATATTTAATTATTTCAGTATTACCAAATAATAAAAATTAGCAAATCAGATTCAATAATAATCAAAACATTTTATGATTTTAGAAAATCAATTGTTTAAGAAAGATAAGAAAAACAAAGAAACTTTTTTAAAGTTCTAAAAATTAGTGAAATAGAAACAGTTCTTTATACGATATATAATCACCCGATTGGAAGACATTTATAAATTGAGAAGGTCTTTGAAAAAATTAGAGAAAACTATTATTGATCGCAAATGTTTAAAGATATTAGGAACTATATTAAAGAATGTGACTCTTGTCAAAGAATAGGAAAGCCTCAATTAAAATATTATTACATCTTATACCAGTTGGAAAATATTTTTGAGAAAATTGAAATAGATTTCTTTACCACTTACGAATAATGGAAAAAATATATAAACATAGTAACTGATTATTTAATCAAATGGCTTGAAACAAGTGCAAAACCTGCAGCTTATACAAACATAGTTGTAGAATTCATTTATGAAAATATAATATATCAACATGGATATTTAAAATATATACTTTATAACTAAGGATTACATTTTCAAAACAATATAGTAGACAGATTAATGAACAAGTTTGAAATTAAGCACTTATTATTTATGTATTATCATTCTCATACTAATGAATTAGTTGAGATATTTAATAAAAAGAATGGGATACTGTTATAAATTCAGTATTATTTGCTTATCAGACTGCAAAAAATTCTATTACAAAGTATTTATCATTTTATTTGACTTATGGAAGAGAAGCAAGGCTTCTTTTAATCACCATTTTTGAAAATCAAACTTTAGAATCAAATTTAGAAGATTTAGAAATAAATCAAAAGAAAGCAAAAGAAAATGTTACAAAAGCACAGGAAAATCAAAAAATATGACATGATTCAAAAATAAAAAAACCCATAGAATATTGAATAGAAGATAAAGTCCTATTATACGAAATTGTAAAAGAAAAAGACTTAGACTGGAAATCTAGAAAATAAATGGATGGACCATTCTATATTCATAATAAATTATTAAATGGAGCTTATAAGTTAAGATCTACAGATAGACGAATTCTTAAACATCAATCAACGCAAGTTTATTGAAGATTTATAATGATTGACAAAATTGAAACCCTGTAATTTATTTGGAATAAATACTGTTAAAAGTATAAAAAGGATCTAAAATTCCTTTTGTCAAAATCTTAAATTTTACAAAAATGAGTTTTAAAAATTTCCAACAAATGAATCAGTTTATCAACAAATACAAATCTGATGTTGAAAAGATTAAAAATGTAAGACATATAATATAATCAAAGAAAATAAAGCTAAACTTCTTTTAATTACACTCGACCTTTAGGAAAAAACCAATTCTGAAGAATTAATCTCCATAATGAATGAAGTTTATCAAGAGAACACTGAAGTGGAACTCGTTAAAAGTGAAATTCCTAAAGAACTTATTAGGAAAAGGAAAACGCAAAAGAAGTATGCTCAAGAACTTGGAATTACTCTATCAGCTTTATTCAAACATATTATAAAAAAAAGAAAGATTCTTCAACAGAGCTCAAATCAAAGAAGAAGAAAATGTAACAGTGCAAATTTTTGACTAAAAACTGCTTATAAATCCAATGTCAATTAAATGTACTTGTTTATCATCTCATCGATCCTGATATCAACTTTATGTCCTAAGATAATCAATGTAAAACATTGTAAATCCAGATATCAATTTTATTTCTAGTATAACGGACAACTTTATTGATATGATCATCCTTACTAGTCAATCTTGTCAACTTTATGTCCTAAACAATGTCATTTTATTTTCATAGATATATTTAGTTTAGTTTATTTTATAATTATCAAACATGTATAAATATCATGGTATTTCTATTAAATCTCAATACTTTACGAGGTAGAAAACTTACAATTTATTATATTATTAATAAAGCGTATAATTAACCAAATTAAAACTTATCTTTCGCAACTTTTAATCTGTCTATACATTATTATTATTTATTAACTTTGCATGATATTGTATTGATTCATTGTATTGACTTAATGTGTAGTCACTGAAATATAATTTCTGAAATATCCAGAAGTTATTCATGTGTAATTGAGAATAATCTTTGACGTTTACTATAAATCTTTGTTGTGATTCCCTAAGCTTAGTTTTAGCATTATTAATATTTGTAAATTTTATTTGAGTTACAAATCAGACATAATAACATCTAATATTCAAGATATCAAGATAATTGAGATAACTATATTTCTTCATTCCTTTTTGCATATAAAATGAAAAGATATGAAAAAACAAGAAATGTGTTATTTATTTGATATAAGGCTGTGAAGCTATTATTTCTATAGAAATGCTGAATCTAACTTCGCAGGTGTAATTAATACTTCTTATTTTCATAATAAATTATTGAATCAAATACAGAATATTATTAGAGCCTTTGAGAATGACAAAATAAAAGCCTAGAAGAATATAAAACAATTATAGTTGAAATAAAAGCAATTATAGTTGCGGGATGAAACTATAATAGGCTAATGTCAAAAGTGGAAACTAAAACCATTGTAAGTCTAAACATTTTGACAGTTTTTGGCGGGTTTAAATAGGCTCAAAACATCTAAACTTAGTCAAAACTTCGGACCAATCATAATCAGTTATTTGTGTTCATCATTTCAAATAAAATTTTTTTTTGGAAAATTTGTTGTTTTTTGTGGAAAAAATAAAACCTTTATTTTATTTAACTTTTGTATAGATGAAAGATTACTTGAAATCCCATCCAGCTTGGCAACCACCTATCCCATCCCAGAATTCCGATGGGCTTCGGCAACTACAAAGAAAGAAGTAAGTAAAAAGTTAATTTTTTTTATATTTTTAAAAAGAAAAAAATATTGCTTACCTCTAATTCTCATTCAATCAGAATTCCAGGGTTCTTAAGGCTTTGGCAACCTACAAAAAAGTATTATTTTTTTTTAATTTAATTATTTTTAAAAAATAAAATAAAATAAAATATTAACGAATAATCTATTTCACAGTTTTGGAGTGGACTTTTCAGGCATTTACAAAAGGAGGTAAGATTATTTTTTTTTAATAATACTAAAAAAACAATACATACTTTCCTCCAATTCATTTAATTCAGTATTCTAAGATACGGAGGGCTTCGACACCTACAAAAAGAGGTAAGTGTAAGAATTAGTTTTGTTAATTTAACTATTTAAAAAAAAAATTTAAAATATTAATCTTCGATTTATTCCAGGATTCCGGAGTGAACTTTTAGAGTCTATAAAAAGAGGTAAGTGAAAATATTAGATTTTTTTTTTAAATAACAAATAACATTATTTTTCTTTAATTCATTTAATCTAGTATTCCAGGATCTAGAGGGCTTCGGAACCTACAAAGAGAGGTAAGTATAAGAATTAGTTTTGTTAATTTAAATATTTAAAAAAAAAATTTAAAATACTACCCTTCAATTTATTCCAGGATTCTGGAGTAAACTTTCAGCATCTACAAAAAGAGGTAAGCAAAAATATTAGTTTTTTTTTAAATAACAAATAACATTACTTATCTCCAATTCATTTAATCTAAGATTCCAGGATCCAGAGGACTTTGGCAACCTACAAAGAGAGGTAAGTGCAAGTATTAAATTTTTTTAATATTTAATTATTTAGAAAAAATAATAAAATTCTAACCTACTTTCAATTTATTTTAGAATTCCAGAGTGGATTTTCAGTATCTACAAAGGAGGTAAGTAAAATTATTAATTTTTTTTTTAATATTTTAAAAACAATACTTACCCCTGATTCATTTAATCCAGGATTTCAGAATCCAAAGGACTTCAGCAACCTATAAAAGGAGGTAAGTAAAATTATTAATTTTTTTTAATAATTTAAAAATAATACTTATCTCTGATTCATTTAATCCAGGATTCCAGGATCTGGAAGACTTCGGTAACCTACAAAAAGAGGTAAGTACAAGTATTAATTTTTTTGATATTTAATTATTTAGAAAAAAATAATCAAAATACTAACCTACCTTCAATTTATTCCAGGATTCCGAAGTGAATTTTTGGCATCTACAAAAGGAGATAAGTAAATTTTAATTTTTTTTTAATATTTTAAAAACAATACTTACCCTGATTCATTTAATCCAAGATTCCAGGATCTGGAGGACTTCGGCAACCTACAAAAAGAGGTAAGTGCAAGTATTAATTTTTTTAATTTAATTATTTAGAAAAAATAATTAAAATACTAACCTTCAATTTATTTCAGGATTTCAGAGTGGATTTTCAGCATCTACAAAAAGAGGTAAGCAAAATTATTAATTTTTTTTTAATAATTTTAAAAATAATACCTTTGATTCATTTAATCTAGGATTCTAGGATCTAGAGAACTTCGGCAACCTACAAAGAGAGGTAAGCGTAAGAATTAATTTTTTTTTAATTTATTTAGAAAAAATAATTAAAATACTAACCTGCTTTTGATTTATTTCAGAATTCTGGAGTGGACTCTCAGCATCCACAAAAAGTGGTAAGTAAAATATTATTATTTTTTTTAAATAACAAAAAATATTATACTTACTTCGATTATTCAATCTAGGATTTCGGAGGGGTTTTGAAATTGGGAAATAAATTTTTATTTATTATAATTGTATTATTATTATAATTGTAATTTTATTATTTTTTTTTATATATAGTAAATAAAAGAGTGATCAACTGTTTGTATATATTTATAGTAAATAAATAAAAAAATGATCAACACGATAACATTTCATATCGTTCGTCATTGTTTAATTTTGAATAATTTTTTATAAATAAAAATTTCATGTCTTACAAAAACGTTGAAGGAAGATCATTAGGATCAGTGTGAAGTCATTTTACATGTGGTGATAAAAAAGTAAAAGGTAAATACAAAGCAAAGTGTAGTTATTGTGACAAAAATTGGGAGCGTGAAGAACCTTGTGAATTAGAAAATTATTTGGTTAATCATTGTTCTACAGCACCAAATGAAGTTATTCGTGAATATCTCATTAAAGTACTTTTAAGTAATACTGATAAGGATGGATTTAATAACAAAAATAATAAAAGAAAACTCTCAAATTCTTCAGGTCAAAAATTATTAGATAATTTTGCAGGCAGTTCTTTAGAAACAGGAAAAAGTGAAAAAATTAATCAAGCATAGGCTAAAGCATTTATCAGTCAAATAAAATGTCATTATTTGCAGGGGTCTAATTGTTGCTCATAATATTGTCGATCATTTTTTGTCGATCATTTATATGAAAAATAATAAAAAAAAAATAATCATTTCTAATTCGATCTGTAAATAATTATATTTAGTAACTATATTATGATAATTATAAATATTCTCCGATTATTATAGAATTTAAATTAATTATTTTTTTAACATTAAGTCATGATTTCAAACTTTTAACTTAGTAAAACTACAGTCAATACGAACTTATACAGGGGTTGTTAATTTTTAATTTTTGGGCAGCATTAAATTTAAGATCTACATAATTCTGTCCAATTTAATTTCTTACATTGTTTAATCATTTTTTAGCGACTTATAATTCATTTTATTATAAAAGAAATTTTATTTAAAATTTTATTAGTTGAAGATTTCACTAACATTTGAAAATAGAGAGTTTTTGGAGTGATTCATATGAACAAGATTGTAAAGTATTATCCTCACAATGTGACTGCATAAGCACTATGATCGCATGACTATGACGACTATGACCATTGTATACACATGTAAAAAAATTGTGAATACGCTATATGCAAATAACGCCATTAAACGCCATTATTAATATTAATAAAAATTACTAATTGATGTTTAGCTCAATCGTCTTGTGACGCAACTTTGCAAATTATCTATCAGATCAATGTTACAAATTAATTGGACTCAAATAGTCCAATTCCAATTAGTTTTAACAATTATATTATAATAAAAAGTTAAGAAATGTTTATAATTTATAATACATTATCAAAATTTATTTTTTTTTTCAATTAAACTATAAAATTTAAACTTTCAACAAAGAAATATAATTAATTAAGAAAGGCTCCATTGATCTACAAAAATCAAAGACTAAATCAAATTTTCATTTTAAAAATAACATGTGAATGCAAATGATATGAATAAAAAAATACAATGCAATCAATACCATCAAACGCCATTATTAATTATGAAGAAAAATTACTAGTTTAAGTTTAGCGTAATCATCTTTCAATGAGAATCCAATTAATTAAAAACGTGTTCCATATGATCTGCAAAATCTTTTTAAATAACATGTATGCAGTTAATTACTTTAAGTTAAATTATATGTCAATCAAAGTTTTTACTGATTAAGAATAGCCAAATACTTTTTTTTTATAAATAAGCGGGCATTTTTTTTAATCCAAACTATGGTATTTTCATAATATAACAATTACCTCACAATTATTAATTTTAATTTAATCTCACTCCTTTTCATTTATCGAGTTATATCGATATTAATAAACAAATTCAATATCTCGTTTCTTTTTTTTTTTAAAAAATGAGTTTTTATAAAAAAATTGGCGGTGAAAGTTACTTTAATTTATTTGGTAATTTAGAGATTATGTCTATGCCATCAACTCCAATTATAAATGATGATGATGAAACATCATCTGATATAATCATCGAAGATGAACTAGTAAAGGATATAGATAATGAAATAGATTCCAACAATCTTTTAAACAAGATGAATTTTTTTCTTTCTTTAATTTAAATGATAACATTGAACGTATGGATAATTACGTTAGTTTAGACAATGATTTTCTGAAACGGATTCTTTTGATGAATGCATAATAAATAATGATAATAACGAAGGTAAATAAAAAAATGCATATTCTTTTTATTAATAATAATGATAATGACTTTTTTATCGTATCTGGACTTTTGACCGAAACCCAATTGACCAAAACCCATTTGGTCGAGTCCAATTAGCCGAATGGATGGTTGCCCGAAGGTCCACCTTACTGAATGACCTGTTCACTGAAAGTCCACCTTACTGAATGTCTAGTTCACCGAAGGTCTACCTTACCGAATGTCCAGTTCACCAAAGGTCTACCTTACCGAATATCCAGTTCACCGAAGGTCATTACACATTTTGTGAATAAAATTGGAAATAAAAAAATAAGTAGATCTGTATACTGTAGTTCTTTTATTATGAAAAAAAAAATTTATCTAGTTGTATAATTAATTAATTATTACGAATAAATATTTTATTATTTTTATATGTCATATTGTATGTTTTTTATTGCGTATAAAGTTGAAAATTTTTTTTTAATCCATCACGATAAAATTGGACGGAAAATCATTAAATTTTCAGTAAAATGTCCATTTGGTGAACTGGACCTTCGGTAAAGTGGACATTTGGTGAACAGGTCATTCGGTAAAGTGGATCTTTGGTGAACTGGACATTCGGTAAGATGGACCTTCAGTAAACGGGTCATTCGGTAAGGTAGACCTTCAGGCAAACGTCTATTCGGCCAATTAGACTCGGCCAAATGGGTTTCGGTCAATTGGGTTTCGGTCAAATGTACTGTAACCCTTTTTTATCATAAATATATGTATTAAAACTGAATATTCTGATAACGAAAATGATATTACAGAAATTATAATTGAGGAAATTGACAAAGTGTTTCATTTAACTTGTTCAATTATAACTATGGATCCAAAAGCTGCAAATATTACTAAATGTCAAAACTCAAGTATTCAAAAATTATGGCAGTTGGTTGGAATTTGGGAAGTTAATTCAGAATCTGTTAAAGAAGTAAAGGCTAAACCTAGTAAACTCGGTGTTTGTAAAACATATTTTAATTTGGATCAAACCTTTCATGAAACAGGTCTTAAAACAAAAATATCAAAAGAACAATCCATGATTACAATTAGAAGATGTCTCTTTTGCAATTTAGATTTTTATATTATATCTCGTGGAAAGTTATGTTATTCACATTCTTAGAGTTTAATCAAAAGAGATCTTTTAATTCCTTGTATAACACAATTTTCATGTTCAGTAATACAAAAAAGTCGAGAATCATTAATTTTTGAAAAAATTTCAGAAAAAAAGGCTTTAAAATATTTACGTTATATTTGTCAAATTTGTTTTAATAAAAATGGTGAACATATTCACATTCCTCCTGGACAAGAAAAAAAGCAAATATCTTGTATAGAAAATAATTATCACAATAATAATACCGAAAAAAGTTTGGAATTAATTAGTAAATGGATTTTAAATGTTGTGAAATTACAAGATTTATTATTACAAGCCCAACTTTTGTCTCAATTATCTTATTCATTAACAGTAAATAATAAAAATATTTTAAATATTCCTTCAGCAAATATTTTACCACCAAGCTTATTTATGGTCAAATCAGCACTTGAAATCGGAAAAGCTAATAAAATTGCAATAAACAAAAATCTTCAAATATCATCACAAGAAAGTTATGAATTTGGTCAATTTTTAGGTAAAAACTTATTATGTTTGCAGAATGAGATACGAAGAAAAAAAAGAAATTTTTTCTAATCCATCAACTTTATTAGAATATTATAATGCTTTTCCAGAAATAATCACCAAGTTTTTTTTGGGACTTATCAAACCATTATTAAAAAACAACATGAGAATACACAAGCTCAACGAAAAAGAAGAGCAATTCAAAAAGGAGTTAAATATATATATCAAAATTTAGATACACTTAAATCAATTTGTATAGTATCCTTCTTAACTTCTGTGATTCTAACTATAATATTTAAACATACACATTTTTGGTTTACTTATTTATTAGCAAGTCTTTGTCGACGACCTTTATTTTTACCTTCATTACAAGCTATTTTGCAAGCCACTCATATTATTGCACATACACAAAAACACGAAAGTAGATTAGAATTAAAAAGAATGAAAGAAATTTTGCCAAAAGAAAAATTAATTCATAGACCTCACATTTGGAATCTTGCTGTAATTGACAATATTGATTTTATGGCAAAATTATTTCGATGGGGAAATTTATATGATTCCTCTTGTAATATTTCACATGCAACTCTACGAATGGTTTTTCAATTTATATTACCACTTTCTCTTTATGCAAAAACTTCAAAAAATTCATTAATGACACCTAATAACCGACGAAGTTTATTTGATTATAATTCATATTCAATAGAAACTTTAGAATTATTTACAGTAGTTTTTCAAAAATTTTTACAATGTGAATATATTGATGGATATTTATATTTTTTTAATAATTTTGATGATAGTAATATTCATCAAAAAATTATATCGTATATTTCAAAAGGATGCTATAATATTTCATCTCCTAATATAATTATATTAGAAGCTGGCGATAAGCCTAATGATGATGAAGGAATATATGAATTATATGAAATGTATCTTGAAGATATTGATCTTACACCTGTATTAGCTTTTAATAATGAAGGATATTTAGAATTTCAAGAACGTCTTGATATTGCAGCTGATGAATCAATCTTTAGACTTATTATTAATTATAAAACAATAGCAAATTCGCATACAAGAATTTTATTAGGATCTTGGCATTTAAATAAAGATATGTGTGGAGTTTTAATTAATATTTTTTCTGGTTATAGAATTTTTAATTTTGCTGCTGCACTTGGTGCAAAGTATTTGACTAATTTTCAAAAATGTGTTGATTATCGAGCTACTTCAAGAACTTTAGATTTAATTTAGACAATAGTAGGAATAGCATTACGTACATTTATATATGGCATGAAATTCAGTTACTATTGATGATATTTTTAAATCAAAAAATGAAATTGTAAAAGTTTGGGCATATTATTGGCAATGGGCGGGATTATGGAAAGGTCACAAAATAGGTATACGAACTGGAAATTTTGATATGCAAATTGAAAATTTAAAAGCATTTTCTCCTTTATTTTATATATCAGAAAAATTAAATTATGCAAACTCAGTAGTACATGCTTTATCTAAAATAGATTCAGATCCATGTTTAGAAACAATCCTTCACAATGTAGCTTCTATAAATATAACATGGGCTAATCATTTTTTTGCATTTGATGAGGCACTTGAAACTTATTGAGTTAAATTTATTAAACAATCTTTAACATCACGTATAATAGATTTAGAAACAATTAAATTACAAATTAAAGCAGCACAATTTGAAGTTGAACGATTAAAAACACTATTAACAGAATTTTTACAAATAAAAGAATCAAAAATTACAAATGATCGTGATATTTCTTCAAAAAAAGAAATTATTTGGAAATTATCAATGGAATTATTTGATTTATTTAAAAATCCATTAAATATAAAACATAGATTTTTGCAAACTACGCCTCAAATGAATCAAATTGGATATAACAAACTTGCTATGTGTTATAAAAATGGAAAAATACATATGAATAAATTGTATAAACAAGAAATTACTAATGAAGAACCAAGAAATACATTCGGAAGGCGTGCTACTGAAGTTGTAGTTTATACCTATAAAAAAATTCAAAAAATATCAAGAATAAACCAATATTACAACCACAAAATAATTCTAATTTACAACCTGAATCCTCTACTACTAGAACACGTAAAAATATATCTATTGAAAAAAATAGAGAAATATTACATAAAAAAACACGTAGCAGAGCTACAAATGAAGAAGTTAATAAATTACAACCACTTATTGAACAAAATGAAAAACCAACATCTGAGCAATTAGAAATGGTAGGAAAAGAATTAAATTGGGATAAAAAAAGAGTCAGCAATTATATTAATTATAGAAGAAATAAAAATAAAAATACAAAGTCAAAAATCAATAAATGATGAATATGATAAATATTTTTTATTTTATTTATTTAGAATGCATAAAATACAAATTGTAATTGAATTTTTTAAATAAATTATTAATTATAAAAAAAAATATCATATTTATAAATATAAATATATTTAAATTTGCAATTTTTATGATATTTTTTTTAATAATCTAAATGCGTTATAATAAAAAATTGTAAATTGATTATAATTAAATAATAATATAAAAATTATTTAATTACTCTTAAATATTTTAACTTTTAACTAAAAAAAAATTTTTAATTTATTTTAATTTCTAATAAAGAAACAAATTATTTTTCTTAAATACAATTTGAATTAAAAGATTAAATAATAATTTTTATTTTAATTAAAAATTAGGTTAAAAAAAATTAGACTTATAGTAAATAAAATGTTGTGTAACAAAAATTTTTAATTTATATGGAAATCTATTAGGATCAACATATTCTATGACTGTTACTATTTGTGGAATTCCTTGGCATGTTATTGAAAATCCTTTTTTTATTGAAGCTTTAAAAGAGATGAATCCTTCATATAAACCACCAACTCGTGAACTTCTTTCTGGTCGTATATTTGAACAACAATTGGCAAAAGTAAATAATAAAGTTAATCATATTCTTAATCAACAAAAAAATTTAACACTTGGTATGTAATTT